GGGGCAGCGTGTGTCTAAGGGCAATAGCACTATCTGTTTGGGGCAGCGTGTGTCTAAGGGCAATAGCACTATCTGTTTGGGGCAGCGTGTGTCTAAGGGCAACAGCACTATCTGTTTTGGGCAGCGTGAGTCTAAAGGCAACAGCACTATCTGTTTTGGGCAGCGTGAGTCTAAGGGCAATAGCACTATCTGTTTGGGGCAGCGTATGTCTAAGGGCAATAGCACTATCTGTTTGAGGCAGCGTGTGTCTAAGGGCAACAGCAGTATCTGTTTGGGGCAGCATGTGTCTAAGGGGAACAGCAGTATCTGTTTGGGGCAGCGTGTGTCTAAGGGCAACAGTAGTATCTGTTTGGGGCAGCATGTGTCTAAGGGGAACAGCAGTATCTGTTTGGGGCAGCGTGTGTCTAAGGGCAACAGTAGTATCTGTTTGGGGCGTGTGTCTAAGGGCAACAGCAGTATCTGTTTGGGGCATGTGGCTCAGTGGGCTAAGCCTCTGGTTGTGTGACTGGAAGGTTATTGGTTCAAGTCCCAGCCTTGGTAGAGTAGTCACATGTCTGTGGGCCCTTGAGCAAGGCCCTTAACCCCCAGCTCCATGGGTGCTGCTGCACGTGGCTGCCCTTTGCTGCCAAGCTTATCCTCACCTACGTGTGTCTGTGTGCAACTGAGAAGCAAGATGGGGCAAAAAGAGAATTTCCCCACAGGGACCAATAAAGTATAATTATTAACTGCACTCGATTCCAAGTGTCACTAAAACAGATTTAAGCTTTTACTCATAACATCCACTAGATGCCACTGTTTAGCAGATCAGGAGGCACTGCAGTACAACATGACAAACTGACTCTTAAGACCATGTGAATTGGACATTATCAAAAACAAAATTCATCCATCCATCCATCTTCTCTGCCTGCTTGTCCTATTCACCTTGGTTTTTGGACGGTGGTGGGAAAGCCAGAGTACACAGAGGAAACTGCACAACAACATGGGAACAACATGCAAACTCCACATACATGGATCCTGCCAGATACTCGAACCCTGGATGAGAAGCAGCAATGCTAACCAGTGCACCACCATGCCACCCCCAGAAAAAGGCTAATTGTATTTGAAAGTAACCTGAATTTGCCTTATATATTTAAATGCAATATCTATTTAAACCATGACTATATAACTAAAAAAAACTGGCCAGTATTTGTATTCAGCCGAAAAGCAGGTGCCTGATCAGAACCTGGCGAGGACAGCATGACTTTCCCTGATAGAATTATCAGAGGTGCATCATGTAATACTGATAAATAGCAGAGGCGGGCTGCTGTCTTCTGGGGAAGGAGAAGCACGCACAGCCCCGGGAATCAGTAATGCGCTACACGTGTGCAGAAACGCAGCAATGCAGGTATAAACATGGCTCTGCAAGGGACCCTGGGCTCAGGGAGCGTCCCGGGGGTCAGGTGTTGTGCAGGATCGGTGCACACATGCGGATCAGTTTAAGCGTCATTATACACACACGAATGCGGACGCAATTCACACACACAGACGCAAAGGACCACGCGTTCATATCATCATGGGGACTCGCCATTAATTTCTATGGGCGTAATTCTAATCCCAAGGAGTCTTTTGCCATTTTTAGTTTTTTAATTATTCACAATGTTTTAAATAAAATTTAGTTTCCCCTTGTCTCCCCACAAGGGCAAAATATCAGGTTTATATGATATTGTGGGGACATTTGGTCATAATGTAATTGGCCCACAATGTAATATATACATGCCGAAAGACAGACAGACAGACGGAAAGACAGACAGATGAGTTTTTAAGGCTCCTTCCATTCCATATTATCACTCTGCTGTCATGACACCAATGCGTTTCAGTGATATTTGATTATTTCATTTCTGAAACACATTTATACCAAAAGCCTGAAGAACCCTGAAAATGAATTATTCTTAAGTCAGTCACGTCAGAATGTTAGAAACATCGAGAGTAGAAGACATACTTCATGGGAAAAAACTGGAAAAGCTGGAAAAGGAAAACATGAAAGAACAAACAATATATCAAGATGTATGCAAGACTGTCAGTCACATGACCAAGGAGAGAGAGAGCAGTAAACAGGAACAGGGAGTTTGAATAAATGGGATTAGTGAATGGAGAAATAACCTGTTAGCAGGGAAAGTAGACAGACTGTAGCCAGAGCACGGCAGTGAGAGACGAGAGGACAGAACGAGATTTACCGGATAGCCATCTCGTCCCGGAGCGCCCTGTTAGGGTGACAAGAGAGCACAGTGACGGCAGACGTTAAGGGCAAGGAGAACCAACTGCTCTGTATATACAGTATGTACTCAACACCGGAGCACAGCTCCTCAGGTCTGTCTCAGCCCCTATTTAAGCCCATTTTCCAGATTATAACACGGCAGAATCAGGGCTCAGGGTATGACAAGGCCAAGCAGAATCGCACGGCATTGTGGGAAATACGGACCCCTTTTAATATCGGTCTCTAAAGTAATAAAACCATCTTGTAAACAGCAGATTAAGTAAGAAAACTGGAGTGGAAAGGTAGTCTGATGAATTTCAATCTTCCGTAGGGACTGGTAATAAAGCACAGGTGAGGTGAATGAACGAAAAGATCACTGTGGAGGGGGGGTGTATGGCTGTGCTTAACACTCTGTGCATGTGATCAGAAGGTTGTTGGTTCAAATCATGTGGGTGATGGACCGGTTTCTCCCGAAGGCCCCTAAGACCAATTCCCCTAGGAAGTGTCTGATCCTACTTTCTCAATTGTATGTCATTCTGGATAAAACTGTTTGCTAAATAAATAAATATATAAATGAAAAATTCTCACATGAATTTCACACACCTCAGGATATGCCCAGCCCTCCCCACAAATTAAACCCCCAATGCATTATGATTTTGACATTGTCCTTCATCTTACCTGTACAATCAGCAAGTGGAACAGAACAAAACCAAGGTGAAATTAACCAGATCGGTCCTAACAAAAGTACACTGCTAGTTACATACCACCTGAAAACTTCAGGACTTACTGGAGAACCTGAAACACAAATAAAACAAACAGGAATCAAAGATTTCATAACTATTTCTAATAATTCATCTGGAAAGTAAAACAGCACTGCCCAATGATGCAAAACACAGAAGCAAATACATCTGTTCAATAAATACATCTGAGCCGAACATGTGATGTGCCAGACAGTGCTTCTGTGGCCAGAAACTGAATGTTGTTTTACATTCCATTATTAAAAAGGGAATGAAGGGTTGAGGCGTTCTGAGAAACGGCCAATGGAAGACGTTCTTTTAATGGAATCCTGATCAGCACGGCCAATAGAACAACAGGTTACATACATGGTGGTCTGTACATCTACAGCTGTTAACTGGCAAATTGTCAGTGTCACTCCGTTACACTGCTGTCAAAACAAGGCAACAGGAAAACGAGGCACTTACATCAGAACTCTCATCCATGTCTCAGTTACTCATGGTAAACAAATGTCATAAATGATCATCTTACATGCCGCCCCAGTTCACACAAATCTGACATATTGTAACACACTGGTATAAAATAAGCTTTTTCTCCCAGCGGCTGCACCATCCTGTCCACCCGAGATTCCGGAGACCTTAACTGACATCTGGTCTGGTATCGCCTGGAGCCAATCAGGCTTCAATTAAGCACGACAGTAACGGGAAAGTAACGGGGAAAGCTGATTTCTTTGTGGGAAGCCCTTTATGTCTCTAATGTTCAAAGCGCTAAGTTATGCTTTAATCAAAGTTTTTTTTTCCCGTAGTATTTTTGCACCATTTTTACTGGAAGGAAAGCGCAGGATTTTCCCACACTGAGCGTTTATCCTGGCCTGCCAGCGGTCCTGAGAGCTGTCTGTAATATATAGCATGTACGAGCCCCTCCCTGTCTTAGCCGTCCCCCCCCCCCCCAAAGAGGCGCCCCTTTCCCGGCATCTCTGCGAAGTGACCATGGGATGACATCAGATGCTGCCCTGGGCAGCTTATAAATCCCAGGATATGACCGGATGGGGCGGCAGTTCGAGGCCCGCTCTCCTTCGCCTGCACGCACATTTAAAGAGAAGTTACTGGAGCTGACCCCCCACGCCTCCCCCAGCCCCCTGCCCTATCAGAATTAGCTGAGAGACTCGCAGACTGAATCCCACTGGGCCAGTGGGGGAGCTGTAGCCATGAACTGCGTTTTAGAGACTGCAGTATATAATGGGCCATGTAGCCTCAACTGACCCCATCTCTGCTGATGCTAAAGGGATAGAGAGGCACCAGCTTCCTCATCTTTGATTGGTCTCCCGCCACAGAAATGGGGGAGGAGCCTGCAGGTCACATGACCAAGGATATACCCAGGACATCCCACTCACGCAAGACCTGATTGGCTGTCCTCACCGACTCTCTTTCTCCAAAGTAATCTGTCGGGGAGTATGCGTAGAAAATGAGTTAATTACTTAGCAAATATGTTCAGGTCCTTTGTATCGGAATGCTAAAAAAAAGGGGGGGGGGGGGCCCAGCATGTTAGAACGTTGTGCTTGTGATCTGAGGGTTGTTGGTTCAAATCCCATGGTCGGTAGAATCATTTCACCGTTGGCTCCTTGAGCGAGACCCATAAACACCGATTGTTCCAGACACTAGCTGACCCTATTCTCTCAGTCGTGTGCCGCTTTAGATAAATGCATCTGCTATATAGATGGAAGAATAAAAGTCTGTAAACTACACAGCAAACAATAAGCCAGAATTACACAGAGACTTGCTCCTTGCCTTTGTACTTTGGACAGGTAGAAATAGGCACCATCACTCGGCTAAGGAGAGCATTTATAGTGGATGGTACATGTTTGGGCAGCAGAAACGGTGCTTACTAATAAGGTACTAATGGGTAGCATGTAGGTAAATTGGACAAGACGTGGTGAGGGAAATGCCTTTGTAATATGGGCACTGGGTCTATCTCTGCCCGAGGAGACAGACTCGGGGGGTAAATGAATCAGAATGTTGCATTTTACGGGACAGTTACTCTACTGGCGTCTAGACACTAGGAAGTGCCTCGCTACCACAAACCATGCAACGGCCCATTTCCCAGCATGCCCCGCACTCACAGTCTATCGGGCTATACACCGATAGCGTGCTTGTTGAGAAACAACGTCGGGGATTTAAAAAAAAAAAAAAAACGTGATTGTGTAACTGCATTTGGAGCGTTAGCGTGCGATATTTTGGCTCTCTCTGCCCAGACAGAAACACACAGGTCTTTATCTGGGAAACATCGACGTGTAGCATAATGCGGGGTGCCTCGTTAAAACTGAAAAAAACAGACAAAACCTAGCTACGGCGAAACCACGGTTACCAGACTGAGAGAGAGACCAGTCAGCAGATACCGCGTCCCGGCCTCCATAAACCGTCATCAAGCAGCATGACTCTGTCTCACTCCGGAGCTGCAGGGATCTATATGCGATATTTTTACGTGTTTTTCAGCCGAGGCGGATGACAAAACAGGCCAGCTGTCTGTTAATCTCTTCACGCTCTACTCATTTTTTGAAAATATAAATCGAGTGGAAAAGGGAGATTTGCCAGATGCCGTGTTTTTCCTAGAGAGTTTGTTTTCTGTTTTGTTTCATTAGTGGGCAAATAGGATCAAAAGCTCATTCTACCAAAGTTGGTGTTTTTTCTCTAGCCCATGAATTCCTCTGGAAGTTGATGTGTAAAATGGAAGTCATGGCTTTCTGAATGCTAAAGTAGTTTATGAATGGTTTATAATCAGTTTATTCATTCAGGTTGTAACATTTTGGAAATCAGTAACAGCCAATTATAAACATAGCACAGTTTTTCGTAACACATTATTTAAGGCAATGTTTTTAGTAATAAACACATTCATAACAAATAATAATGCATTCATAAAGCATTATAAAGGCATAACACATTATACCCATGTTTATTATGCATTATGAATGCTTTATGAAGCTCTCATCTATAATGCACTATAGATACCTTCATAATGCATAATAGTGGTCAGTATAAGCATTAAGGATGCTTTGTACTGCATTATGAAGGTATCTATAGTGCATTATATAGTTGAGAGAATGTATTCATAATGCATTATGAATGTGCTTATAAATTACTAAAAACATGGCCTTAAGTAAAGCATTGCCAAGTATTTTTATTACTCACTACCATTTATAAGTGGCAAAAGGGACCTTTATTGTAAAATGATACCACTAAAAGTCTTAAGACTTATCTGATTATTTCCCCTCACAGTGTGATAGATTAGGTTGCCATTATGAAAACGGCATTATGTTTATTACCCAGACCCAGGTAATTCAGGTCCAGACAGTAAAAGTCCAGACCAAGGTTTTATTTCAACCAACCAGTTGAGCATAGAGACACACAGTCACAGTGTACTCAACTGGTTGGTAGAAACAAAATCCCGGTCTGGACTTTTACTCTCTGAATGACCCAACTCTGGGTAAGACTTTGAAGGTTTGTATGGGCATGTGGGAGAGATGCAGCTAACTGATCTGACTGAAGTGAGTGATACTGACAAGGGAAAGTGTCACCGAGAACTTAAGAGGAAGCTCTCACACAGTTTAATGCGGGGAGGGTATTTTGTTTACTCCTGTACTGCTTACTATTAGAAGATACACTGAGGAGACGAAGTTTTTTAATAAAGAGACTTACCGTGTTCCCCTTTCCGCCCCATCCTGCCCCGCTTTCCTGGCGGACCTGAAAGACAGTTTCGAGCAGATATTCATGCCATCTTTCATTAGACTCACCACGCAGAAGCCCGTGTGGCTTAAATCCATCCCTCTTCAAGTTTAAACGCTGCCCAACAAATACTCTCCAAACATCCACTAGCAGGTCATACGGGGAAATTGGAAATGTAACCAAAAAAGTCCCCACTGTATCCTAAATAGTTTTTTGCCAAACTGTATAAACAGGTAAATTGTAAAATCATACGCTCTTGTGGATAAAACAGCACCCTAACTGCAATACCCGGCCTCCTTTTGCCTACAGAGTTCCTACAGAGTTCCTACTCTGTAGGCCAAACGAGTGTAAGTTTAATGTAATATAACACAGGATACAACAAAACAGGATGTTTTTCTTCAAGATGTACCTTGTCAAAGAGTGGGCAAACTGTTTGTCTTTTTTATGTCTCTGTAAATCACAAGGTTGTCTTGAATGTTCAAATAAAAAAGTTTTATAATCTTGTCCCTCCCTTGAATCATTTGAAAGTTTACCCAAAAGCTTACCCTGCTCTGATCAAAACTATAGAAAATGGATTCTTTTAATGTACTGTTAAGTGGTATCTTCCTTCACACTGTGATCAGAGCATTTGCACCTTAATGTCAGGGTCACTGAAACCTAATGCTGTATGCAGTATGCTGTATGC